TAGCGGCGGAATATCTTATCCAATGCTTCAAATACAGGGTCAGTCTTCAGGTTCTGCACAGGAATACATGAGCGATAACGCACAGTGGTATCAATGCAGGTGAGAAACTTAGCATTCTCGATCTCCAAGTGATCAATACAGACGGTAATAGATCGATTGTGTGATATAATTCCTCTGGTGGACTGAAGAAGTCGTTGTACCTCTTCTTCGGAGTTGGTCTTGTTGACTTGCCTTTCAATGTAGAGGCGACAGGTCCAAAGATTGCTTTGGCATGAATCACATACTTCAGACTTTTGGTGCTTGGAGCATTGAGTATGTGCATTGCACTTCTCGCTTCCATCGCAGCCTTGACTTGTCTTGGAGTGAATCCTTCCTTGTTCTTTTGAACGGTTGCCATCTTGGAGGTCATCTCAAGTCCAGCATATCCATTCTGTTTGTTTGAAGAAAGTTTGAAATGGGGTTGATTATTTAAGTTGCTTAACTGGCGACGGTACATCGCACTTGTCTCTTTGGCACCTGGTTCGACATTCGCTCCAATTTGCTCCAACACATACACACCCTTACGATTTACAAATCGCATCTTTTGGTTTCCATCACAATGCACAATAAAGGCATTGTCAGCATCAGTATCCATAGTAATGCGATATCCCGCAGCAATCATCTCGCGCATAGCAAGTACATTGGCAATTCCATCTTCATCGTGATAGACTGGAGGTGGAAATCTTCCTAGAAAACCTTCTTCGTCGAGAACTCTGCTGCCCACGTTATTGTGCATGTCAAGTTCTTTCGCAGCATGACGGAGTCCATGCATAAGCTCACCATTACAAATGGTGGTGTTTGTATAACCACTGTCCATGATGACATGATCGTAAACCCAAATGGATCTCTTTCCTTTCTGCGGCTTTGAATAAACTGCAGACCTCGATCAGGCAAATCTTCATCTTCACTAGCATAGTGCCAGTTGGCTTGAAGTTTGACATTTGTCATACCAGCAGGACATGGAAGAAGATAGACATCATTGCCGTTCTCATCCTTTCCCTTGATAGCATCGTGAAAGACATTTGACATATCAAAATATCCAGTTTTCACAGCTTGTGGAGTTCGAGCTTGAGTTGCATCGAATCCTTGGCGCACTTGAGCACCACTGAAGCCTTGTCGGCTGAGTTGCATTCCACTGAACGCAATCTCACCGTT